TGCTTGTTTGTAGGTGACCAAATACTTATTTTCCACCATTATTTGCAAAAAAATTCTTTAAAAGTCAGACAAAAAGATTTTCTCAAATTTTTTTTCACATTTTGTCTCTCATAGTTGAGGTCTACCTATGATGTCAATTACAGGCCTCTCTCATCTTTTTAAGTGGGAGAACTTGCACAATTGGTGACTGACTAAATACTTATTTTCCCCACTGTATACCACACAGCCCTAGTACAAATATTAAGTAAATTAGTGTTTGATAGATAATTTCTGTGTTGTAAAAATGCGTCTTGATAATAAATCTTAAACTATTTGAAAGTTTTAATTTCCCTTATAATGGTGCCATATTTGTAAGGAACAAGCATTTGTGGGATGTACAGTAGAGCTGAGTATGTGGATTTGGAACTTTGTGGGCATGTTTGTTTATGCAGCGCAGAATCAGAATTAGATTTATTGACCAAGTATTTTTACGTATATGGAATTTGATGTGGTGTTGAGGTGCAGAACATGGAACTTAAAGGAATAAAAAGTATGTAAAATATCAGTTTGAGAATGAAAACGGAATAATGTAAACTAACTGTTAATTAAGCCAGCAGTGCAAAAAACAAGCTTCAGACACTGAGTGAAAGATGAATCTCGTTTCCATGGACAACACGTCCATCATAACACAGGTTGCAAATCCGAAAGAGGAGGAGAGCATCTCATCAGGTCAAGATAAAGGTAACACACACACACACGCGCGCGCACACGAGCCTTTTATGTTTTGATTGGCTTGAATTGTTTTTATTTTGGTGCCAGTCTGCAGAAATCTGCAGCTCTCTACAAAGTAAAGGGTGAGTCAAAAGTCTCAGGACACCCTTTTGTTTCAGAAAGAAAATTATCTGAATACTCCAGTAAGTAACGAGTGAGGGGGGCTTATCTTTTAGGCATGTCCAGAACATGGCCGCCATCTTGAAAGCCACCATGTTGGATCATGGGCAGGTTTTTACAAAGATCACCACTCTCACCGATTACTTGCTGGGGTATTCAGATATATAATTTTTCTTTTTTTTTCTGAAATAAAAGAGTGTCCTGGGACTTTTGACTCACCCTGTATATCTAGGCTTTACAGCACTGATGAGGGCTGGGAGAGATGTGCTTTTGCCAGCCTTGTTTAACCATAAGACATTTTGTTACCAAAAATCACAAACTGTTCCTGTATGGACTTCCTCAAAGCTGCTTTAGGAGTCACCAATCAAAAAATCATAACATAAACAGAATAAAACAAAGAAACAAATCGAACAAATAGTAATGAGGATGTTTCAGTTTCAACCTTCAATAACCCTGTTTGAATGCTCCAAAGATTAAACACTTCTGAACCTATTAAACTTTCTTTAATAACAGTACAGAGTGGAATAAGATGGATCGACGTCTTTCACTTGTTTATATTTAAACAAAGAAAGGAATGCAAATAAGCAGAGCAGACATTCCAGGTGTTTTTGGACACACCTTGTTTCATCACTCGGCTCTGTTCCATTACTACGACTTCTCACTTTCTAAGACTCAAGAACACAAAAAAACTCTTGTTCCATAAAAAAAAAAAAAAACTCGTACAACTGAGCAAAAGCAGCTGACCTTTGGCGACCCATTCCACGAGATCATCTGCGCTGTTCTGGAACACTCTCTTCACATCTTCAGGCCTCATGGACACCTCTTTGGTCTGGATCAGAACAAAACCTTTGGCGGTGGCCTGCACCAAACAAAGACAGACAGCAGCTGTGAATCATGCAGCACTGAAATATTTTTCTGGTTTTTTTTTTATGTGACTCATGACTTCCTTAAATCTCCCGCATGTGAGTGCATGCTGGTGGACGTACATTTTTTCAGCAGCAGGTAATCTCACTGGATGTTTCTGAAGCAACAAACTAAATGGTGCTGAATGATCTGAAACTTTGTGATAATAAAGGAATGCATTTAAAACATTTCCCTTAAGTTGAACAACATTCAAGCCTGACAAAACACAGAAAACAGGAAAGTTCAGCGTCAGTACGACTTGTTTCTAAACTGAACAGCAGCGTTAAAGATACTGTACCTGTCATTTATTTTATTGACCTTTATTTAAAGGGATCCATGATTAGTTGTAACATTAGACTTTATTTGATAAACATATTTTAACTGTAAAATAAAGACCGTAAAAATACTGTTTAGTTTTTATAAATTTTAAACTAAAAGTTTAAAAATATATTTTAACACAGACGGGGCCATTTTATTTCCACACAAAGCATTCTGGGTAAATGATGATGTGGATAGGTCCTTGGTGCGAGGCTGCTAGCGAGCTATATCCACCCTGAAAGTTAATTTTGGACAATAT